GCCCCCAATCAGCGAATTGATGGACAGGCATTCGAGGCAGAGCTACCGAGCGTCATTTATTCAGTTCCGAACAATCGAAAGTGTCAATTAAAAGACAGCAACAAATAGCAAATGCCAAGTGCCAGCCGCAATGCCAACATCAAACGTTATTATTTTATTATATTTGATTTAAATGTTTCGAAATCGACATGTGCGAACTTTCCCTCCGGGTCGAGTCAACCCTCCAGCTGTGATTTGTGGTCGTAGCTCTTCGATTTTCCACTGCCATTTCGATTGCCTTTTCCATTTCGATTTCCATTTCCATTTGAATTTCCATTTCAATTGCTATTTGCGAAATATGCGTGAATTAAAACAGATGTCAGTCGTACCCCTTGGCGGTCGGTCGGTCGGTCGGTCGGTCATTGATCCCCGTTTCATAACGTGCTCTGATTAATCTCACCGACTTATGCCTAACTTCCCCAGAGACTTGGCCTAACGCGCCTGCTTTGTGTTCAGGTTGATCAAAGCCTTGGTGCAAATACGAAAACGCGTCTATCATCCGACTACCCGAGGCGTTTGTTTATCTTATTGAATTTCTGTTTATGCAACGCCTTTAAATTAAGACTGCAATTGAATTGCAAATCGAATCGCAGCTGCTAGCTGTATGGCTGATTGTCTAGGTGAAGTCAATTTATAAATGAAATAAAAAATAATAATGAATTAAATTCATGAGAGTTCAATATAATATATATCTTACTTTATTACTATTTTCTTTTTTATATAAATCTATATTATTTTTAGAATTTTTGGATACTTACCTTAGTACTTACTTGTTGCTTCCATATCAATTTAATTTTATCTTGACTTTTCATAATTTTAAAAAATACTAAATGAAGTAAAAAGCAAATAATTTAAAATAGTTTTGAACAGAAAATTGCAGCGCCGCAAATGGAAAAAATAGATCTGACAGAATTTGAGCCGTGAATGAGTATTCAGCAGTCGTAACGCCCCACTTCTCCACTCTTACTCCACAAACACATTGGCCTCATGATATTAAAAATAAAAAAAAAGTCAAGGACCCAATCAAATAAAAATGAAAAGCAAACAAAATTCTTTTAAAAGTATTTAAGACAAACAACTGAAATTGTTTTTAAAATTTTTCGTTTTTATTTCAAATTTTGTATTATATTTAGTACGCGTTTGTTTTAGTTGCGCTTGTATGTGGTTTTGTTTCCTTTTGTTTTTTTCTCTCGTTATTTATTACCCATTTCGTTAATTGTCATGTGTTTGCTTTGTCTGCAATGTGCATCGAATTTCAGACGCATTGCTACTTAAATGTTATTGAAATAATTTAAATGTATTATTTTGGTTAGCGTTAATTATAATTTGTGATGCCATTGTTGAAATATGTATTCGGTTTTACTTTCTTTCATACTTGCGCCAACCAATTTCTACCGTTTGCACACATTGTTTGCAATTGGATTAATAAACGAGAGAGGAAAATAAATAAATGTTGTTGTTCTTCTGTTTGGGTTTTGTTTAAATAATTTAATTTTAAATGTATGTATTCATATTAATATATATTTAAGTTGCATTGAAATTTACACTCATACACGTTATAAATGCAATTAAATTAATTTAGAAATTAAACTAGTCTACGAAATGAATTAGCGAAGCGACAACAAATCGGAAATTCGTCTGCAAAACTTTGCCATAATTTACAGGAAAGGAAAAGAGGAAGAACATAAACAAATGTTTACAAATATTATATCAATGTTTTGTTTTGTTTTGTTTTGTTTTTACAGTGTACACTTACGCCTTACGCTTATTAATTTTTACAAAATGTAATTTAAACTTATTTACTAATTATTTAATTTTTCTCGCTTTAATTAATATTATTTTTTATTATTATTTATACAAGTCTTGTAGTTAGGTTTGTGATGTTTGTGTGTCCAGTGTTGTCGAGCTGCGGAGAGTGTTGCAGTGGGTATCAGTGTTATGTATGACCAGTGTTGGCAAACATGTTGTGCAATTGGAAATTCGGAAAGTCAAGAACTGTGCAGAAAGTTTGGAAATCTGTATATATGTACGTATACATATATATATGTGTGTACTGATTAGTATATCTCTATATATCGCTCCTTGTCAGCTTATAATTGTAATTAACCATTTAAATACGATTTCTTTAAAAATGTCTAGCTTAATGTTTAGCTCGTTTATTGCTGTTATTGTTAATAATTTGAAAACTTTTCGAAGGTGTTGCACAAACATTTGAAATACCTTTTTATGTATCTGTGTGATTGATTTTTTATTTGCTACTATTTAAACTACTTTTTTCTGCACGTTGTGTGTATTGGCTTCGTTTGTGTCTGTGTGCGTGTATGTGTTTCAATTTTTTTGTCGTATTTTTTAATTTGTTCTCCTTTTTTTTCAATATTATTTTAACGCCTTAGTTAATAATTTATAAAATGCGGTGTTTACATTTATGTGTGTGTGTGTGTTTTCCTTTCATTATTTACTGATTTATGCATTTTTTCGTGTTTTTTTTTTTTTTACTTTTGTTTAACTGCTACGAAGCTACTACGATTTTAACTTTTAGTACTTGCTGTGATAAATTGTATGCGTATTAAACTAAAAAGGAACATATACATGATTATTTATTAATTAAACATTAATACATTTATTATACTCGTATATATAGTTGATTTCATTTATATGCTTGTATCTATATATAACTGTATATTTTTATTTAATTCATAGTAATTTTTTCTTTATAGTCAGAGTCATTTTGTTGTCGGGTTAAATTATAATTAGCATTAAGAACTGAATATATTTTATAGTTTTTCATTTTTTTTTAATACGTGTTTTTTTTTTTTTTTTTGCTATAAGTAGTTGAATATATATTTTTTTAATCACAAATCATTGATGAAAACTTCATTTTAATTGGTTTTAGGCGATGACGCTCTGCACGCTCTCTTGGTCCGTTAAATTCCGTTACAATTTTATCATCATCATCATCGTCATTATCATCAACGTCTCTACATAATTTTTGACGCGGCATTTTTCATCTGCTGGGTAAGCATATAATCAAAGTATCTCACGGATACCCTTTCTCTCTATCTATCTCTTTCATTCTTTCTAAATTTATACACAGAAATTTACAGTGGGGCTTTAAGTAGTTGGATATAGTTTAGGGCTAAGGAGTTGTACAGGCATTTACAGTTAGTTTTGCATATTTTTTTCTTTGCTTTTCGTTTGCTTCTTTCGGAAAGGTACTAAAAATCAGTTGAACTCTATTATATATGCTAGTTACTTTCATCTCATTATATTAATTATTTCCTTCGCTTCGTTTCGTTTTATAAACAATAAGTGTCGCTAAATGCTAGACCTTAAATTCGTTTTGTTTTTTTTTCTTCATATTTTTCTTAAATGTTCTGTTCGATTGCATTTGATCTATGAGAAACTAGTGCCGTGTGTTTGTGTTTTTTTTTTTTTAATTTT